AAGATGCGGCATTTTGTCTCTATTGCTATCTCTTTAAAACCAATTTTGAACAAGTGGGTAGTGAAGCTTTCACTGGAGATGGATTTAAGAATTGGAAGAAAGGGAGAGAAAGATTTAAGATGCATGTTGGCCCGGTTGGGAGTGTTCATAATAAGGCTAGAGAAGCTGCTACAAATTTGATGAATCAAGCTACACACATATTGAAACGGCAGTGAGCAAACACTCTGACCAAACTCGTAAGGCTTATCGCACATGCTTGATTGCTTCAATCAAGTGCACTAAGTTTTTATTGCGACAAGGTCTTCCTTTTCGTGGCCATGATGAAAGTGCCACTTCAAGCAATAGGGGAAATTACTTGGAGTTATTGCAATTCCTTGCAGATAATAATGATAAAGTTAGAGAAGTTGTGATGGAAAATGCTCCGGGGAATCTCAAATTACTAGCTCCTTCCATTCAAAAAGAAATTGTGAATTCATGTGCCCTTGAAACACTTGATGCTATCATGGATGGTCTAAAAGATATATTCTTTTCAATATTGGTGGATGAAGCACGTGATGTGTCTGTGAAAGAGCAAATGGCTATGGTGTTGCGTTATGTGGATGACAACGGGCATGTAATTGAAAGATTTGTGGGTATCCAACATGTTACCGACACTACTTCAAGTTCACTAAAGGATGCTATTGACACATTGTTTTCTCGCTACGGTTTGAGCATTTCCAAGCTACGAGGACAAGGTTATGATGGTGCTAGCAATATGAGAGGTGAGTTGAATGACCTTAAAACAAAGATATTGAGAGAACAACCTTGTGCATATTATGTTCATTGCTTTGCTCATCAACTTCAACTAGCTCTTGTTGCCGTAGCAAAGAATAATATAGACATTGCTTCTTTTTTTGCAACGGCTAATAATGTGGTTAATCATGTTGGAGCATCTTGTAAGCGGCGTGATTCACTTAGAGGGCAACTTCAAGAAGAGCTTGTGATAGCTTTTGAAAATGATTGTCTTATAACGGGGCGAGGCTTAAATCAAGAAACAAGTCTCAAACGTGCCGGTGACACACAATGGAACTCACACTATGGTACCTTGATTAGCATCATTTCTATGTTGTCATCCGTGGTTCATGTGCTTCAAATGGTTATTGATAATAATCCCAATGAAAGTGCGGGTGAAGCAAATACGTTAATAAGAGTGATACTTACTTTTGAGTTTGTGTTTCACCTTTTCTTGATGAAAGTCATATTGGGACTCACAAATGATTTGTCACAAGCATTGCAAAGGAAAGATCAAGAAATTGTGAATGCAATGGCTTTAGTGAAATCATGCAAGGAAAAGCTATATTGGATGAGGAATAATGGGTTCGATGCATTGGTTGATGAAGTATCTTCTTTTGTGAAAAACATCATATTGATGTTCCTAACATGGAAGAGGCATTTATACTTCCAGGGAGGTCAATGCGTTATGCTCCAATAAAGACAAATCGTCATCATTATCGTGTGGAGTTCTTTATTTATGTTATTGATGAGCAAATTACGGAGTTAGAGGATCGCTTTAATGAGGTAAATACCGAGTTGCTTATTTGTATGGCATGTTTGAGTCCGAAAGATTCATTTGTAGCTTTTGATCAACCAAAGTTACTTCGTCTTGCTCAATTTTATCCTCAAGACTTTTCGGATGAAGATCGTTTGGCACTTGAAGATCAACTTGAGATTTATATTCATTATGTGTGTTCCAGTAGTGATTTCTCTCAATTGGAAGGGATTGGTGATCTTGCAAAAAAAAATGGTGGAGACAAGGATGCATCAAGTATTCAATTATGTATATTTGCTCATTACATTGTCTTTAGTTTTACCAGTTGCAACTGCTTCAGTGGAGAGAGCATTTTCTGTCATGAATATTGTTAAGGGTCCACTTAGGAACAAAATGGGAGATCAATGGTTGAGTGATAGCTTGCTTGTTTATATTGAGAGAGATATTTTTGCTTGTATTGAAAATGAAGCTATAATGCTTCGTTTTCAAAATATGAAACCTCGTCGTGGACAATTATAGTTTGTAATATTGTTTCCATTATGAATTATGAATGAAAGTACTATGATTTCATTTTCAATATGTTTTTCCATCCTAAATTTTTATTTGAACTTTTACACTGCGACCCCTTGGGGTAAGATTCCTGGATCCGCCACTGGGTGCGGGTCTACGCTCTTCTATCCTTATTGGTGTTCGTCATCTGTGGTTGTGGATCTCAATTTTGGGCGTTTTCTCTGAGTGGGGTAGGTGTAGCTTTAATTTCTTCTTCGTTTTCTTCGATTGGGGTTTGTGTTTCTTCTGGGTGTGGTGGGGTTGGTATGGAGGAGAGTGGGCAGGGCATTTATTCCTCCCATTCTTTTATTTGGGGGTTAGGGTTGTATTGGTCATTCAGTTTGGGGGTTGTGGTTTTATTCCTCTGTACTTCCTTATTCGATGTGGAAAAGGTAGTCCGAGAAAATCGTGGGTTTATTGAGGATGGATAACCTATGGGTATAATTAGTTCTCAACGAATTGAATGCATGAATTGTATTTATGGGTCTATTGAGGGTTTGGTTGGCAGCTTTAAAGGATCGCAGTTCCTTTTGCCTCCAAGTGGTAGGTACGTTCAAGTATATGCTTTTATTGCAAATTTTATTGTGCTTCCATTGGTTTTTAAAGGAGAATTGCGACTGGTTAAAGGTATGAGACTGTTACTTGCTGGTTTTCCAAAGGTTTTTTCTGTGCATATTAAGTACTCTGCGATATCACCGGGGCTTTCGAAAGAGATGAGTTAGATAATTATGGAGAATCAGGGTGTGGATGAGCTTGTAGTTCATCTGGATCGTTTGCTGGATTTGTCAGCTATAGAGCTTTGTGTTAAAATGGTTGGTATGGCTCTGGCACACAGAACGCTGAATAGATAAAGCATTAGAAACATTCTCAACACGGTTTGGAAGGATATGGGTGAAGTGGGAATTAAATGGGTTCGAGAGAACTTGTTTATTATTTCGGTGTAGGATCAAAGTATGGCGAACAAAATCCTTGAGCAGGTGCCTTGGGCAGTCATAAAGAAGAATTTTGTAGTGAAGACATGGCCCCCAGACCTTGCTTTGGAGGAAGTCGACATGAAGACTGTTCCTTTTTGGGTTCAAATCTGTGGTGTCTCGTTATGTTTGGTTACCAAGGAGAATGTTACTTGCCTTACTAGGAATGCTGGAGCTTTTTTGGAGATGGAGGATCTAGCCAAAGCTCGTGGCTTCTTAAGGGTTAAAGTATTAGTAAATACGGAGAACCCGCTAGTTATTGGATGTTGGCTGAAAAGGGCGATGAACCGTGAAACTTGGGTAGAGTTCAGATACAAGAGGCTCCAAGACTTTTGCTATCATTGTAGGCGTATTGGTCATGTTAATACGGAGTGTTCTTTTGCAGTGAACTTGGGAGGGGCAGATAGTTATGGAGATTGGATAAAAGCTCCCCTAGTGCTTGATTTTGTGGAGCCCATGCGTCCGATGCGTGTGAGAGCAGGTGAAAGGAGGAAGGTTGGAATGGTACGGGGAAATGATCCCATGTCGATGATGCAACGTCTGAACCACAGTGAGGCTCAACATGAGAATGAAGCAACTGGGGTTATTGTCAGTGAGGGGGAACACAGTTCTCGAATTCGTGACAAGAAGAAATGGCACAGATTACAGCGCCAAAACTTTCCTTCTAGTCAATTTCAGGTGGTAGTGCCTCAAATCAGTCGTCAGATCAGGTGGGATTGTGGAGGTGGGGGTTGTGGAGGTGGGGGTTTCCCGCAAGATTTTAATCAGGCGGTATTTCAGGGTGGAGAAGGAAGACAATCAGTTCAGATTCGGGAGGTCAGTGAGGAATTTTCTGCTCATTTACCAGGTGTTATTTTAGAGGGGTTTAGAGGGAATGAGGTTAGTAACTCAAGGATGATTCCAAGCCTTATGCTTAAAGAGGCTGGTGGTTTCAAGAGAGGAGTGGAGTCTCCGAGTATGGACTTAATCCCATCCCCGAAAAAAAAGACTAGGGGAAATGACAAGGCTGAGGATAGAAAAGGTAAGATGGTGGAATTGGTGCGGGGTATGAGCATTACAGAAAGATGTCTCAGGGTTGATAGGGTTATTTATGATGACGAGAAGTTACACGAAGTTCCTATAGAAGTCCGTGATATGAGAGATCTTGTGGAGGCAGTCTCAGCAGAGGAAGAGAGTAGTGTCTTGGATAAGTGTGCGGGCAACCTGGCTCGGGATGGTGGCGGCTGGCCCTCAACAGCCGCAAGATCGCCATGATTTTGGTGTTTTGGAACTGCCGTGGTCTAGGGTCAGACACGGCAGTAAGGGCCCTTCATGGTCTTATCCGAAATAAGCGACCCTCTATGATCTTTTTATCTGAAACTAAAATGAAAGATCAAAGATTAAATGGGGTTAGGCAACGTATGGGTTTCTTGAATGGTTTCAATGTTTCTGCGATTGGAAGGGCATGTGGTCTAAGTTTGTGGTGGGATGATTCTGTGGAGGTGCAAATTCTGTTTTCGTCTAAGCATATTATTGATGTTATCTCGCGAAATGTTGGAGACCATAGTTGGGTCCGGATCACTAGGGTTTATGGAACTTCGTACAGGGAGGAAAAAGCTGCTTTTTGGGAATGGATGACGAAGTTTTTTACGCCATCTGATATTCCGTGGCTGTGTGCCGGGGACTAGGGCTGGAAAAAATCCCAAAAATCCCAAACCAAACCAAAAAAATCCCGATCCCAAACCAAAATTCCCAAAATTTTCGGGATGTAATCCCAAACCAAACCGAAAGTTTCGGTATGGGATTCAGTATTGCATTTCATTTTTTCGGTATTCCCATACCGAACCGAAAAAAAAAATTATATATATAATTTTTTAATTATAAGAGAATTATTTCAACCGTTCATTGTTTTGGATTTAATCTGTGTCGTTGATTTGTTTTTAGGTCAGATCACATTTCACTTTTGTAGTTCCTCCGTTCATTTGTTTCGAAGCGCAGCCCCTGAGCCTCCGGCCCTCACCAACGTCGTCCCTCACCAACGTCATCTCATTCTCCGTCTTCGCTGTCATCGTCGTCGTCTTCGTGGATTCATTTGTGTTCGGTTCTGTTATTCGTGTCCTCTTCCTCACCAGCTCATTGTTCTTCCTTTGATCGGTGAGTCTCTCTCTCTCTCTCTCTAAAGTTTTGTTTTCGGTAATTTCCTCTCTTAGATCCCGATCTCGGGAAGCTTCAAGTTCATGTTTTTAGTACCAATTTTAGCTCAGTTCCACTGTTTTAATGGCGTTTTCGCTTCGATCCCTTCTTTCGGGTCACCTTCTTCATTCGCATTTTGGTCCTCCTTGTAAATTGTTACTCTTTCAGTTGCTTAAAAAATTGTGGGTTCGATGTATTGGGCAAGCTGCATTGGTTGTTTCTTTTGCGCATCGATTTGCTTCTGGAAGATTTGTGTTGTTTTGGTCTCATGGTTCTAGTAAAGTTAGGATCTTTATGTTTTAATATTGTAAGTGTTTGAATTTTGTATATTAAGCTGCCATTGAGCAACAATGCTGTGGTTTAATGAGTCAAAGATTGATAAACCCGAATTGATGTTAATTTTTACTAATCTTCTCAACAGATAGATGGATTGAAGTGTTTTGGATATTCAAAGTCAATTAATTAAGCTGCAAAGCTATTGCGTTTATCTACAGTTTAACTTTAATCATTGTTGATAATTTGCTTTGACTTGGCCCTTCGAGTGCATGCTTATGTAGAATATCCAGAATTTTGAAGCGGTCTAATTTGGTTTTCGTCTACTGCCAGACCCTTTCTTTTATATGAAAGGTTCAAACTTTGAGATGTTTTTATTGGCCTAACATTTTCATTCATTTATACACTGATATTTTTTGTATAGCTGATGCTTCCTTAATCTAACCATTACTAATTGTACTCATTGTTTCATTTTCAGGGTTCGTCTTAAGTCACCTTGGTCCCGCAGGAAAAGAAAACATGCTCTTTCAGCTCAGCAATGGAGGCTTTTCTTTACACCAGATGGCAAGCTTCGTGATGGTGGAGTTAAGTTGGTGAAGAAAGTTCGCAGTGGAGTGAGTTTCTGTCACTTTCGTGTTATATTTGCTATCAAAATGTAACATCTATTCATGGTTCCAACTTCCATCATTGACATTTTCATCTTAAAATTTCGTGAATGCAGGGTGTTGATCCAAGTTTTTCAACTACTATTTTGGGATTCCCGATTTGTCCCGAAATCCTGAAACTAATTCGGGATTCCCGAAAATTGGGATTCCCGAAAATTTGGTTTGGGATCGGTATTGAAATTGGGATTCCCGAAAATTTCGGTTTGGGAATCGGGACAAGGGTTTCGGTATGGGAACCCATACCGAACCACCCCTACCGGGGACTTCAATGAGTTTCTTTGGGATCATGAAAAGTCAGGGGGTGTGGAGGTCTTATACAATAGGCCAAGGTATCTGGAGGAATTTATTTATGCTACTAATATGTGGGATTTGGATTTTAATGGTCATGCTTTCACTTGGCGTGGTATGCGCCATGGAGATTTGGTGGAGGAACGGATTGATAGGGCTCTGATCAACGGGTTATGGCAGTATATGTGGCCTAATTCCATGGTTACGCATGGGACGATTTTGGGGTCTAATCATTGTCCTATTATTATTCAATCTGATTCGGGGAGTGTGCGGGGACGCAGGGCGTTCAAATTTGAGGCATTCTGGGCTAAGGAGGAGGAGTGTAATCAGTTTGTGAGCTCTTGCTGGAATCGGCCAGAACCTGGTGAGATCTTGGTGAGGTGGACGAAGAAAATTAACGATTGTAAATCCAGTCTTATACGGTGGAACCGTAATAAATTCAAGAAGAGGGGTCATCAGATTCAGGAACTTCTTCACCAGTTGCAGGAGCTTTAAATAGATTGGCGCTCTAATATTGAAGATATTAAGCAGAAATCTCGGTTTGTTGATGATCTGTGGGCTCAAGAGGAAAGTTACTGGATGCAGCGATCTAGAGTTAAGTGGCTTCGCGATGAGGATGCTAACACCAAATTCTTTCATAATTCAACTTTGCATCGAAGACGGCGAAACCAGATTATCAAAATAAATGATGAGCTTGGGAATTGGGTGGAGCAACCTTGTCGTGTTCGAAAGTTGGTGGAAGATCATTTTATGCAAACTTTTACATCAGGATAAGCTAGGAATTGGGGATCAATGTTGGGCTGTATTAGCCCGTATGTGACTGGGGATATGAATCAGGAGCTATTAATGCCGGTTACTAAGGATGAAATTAAGGCCGCGGTTTTCAAAATGGGCGGTCTAAAGCTCCTGGACCGGATGGATTTCAAGGTATATTTTATCAATCTTATTGGGATCATGTTTATAGGGGATGTTAGTGCTTTGGTGAGGGAGTTGATGCAGGGCACGAGTAGTCCGTCTACTCTTAATTCTACTCATATTGTCTTGATCCCCAAGGTTCCTCACGCGGAGTCGGTTTCGCAGTTCCGGCCTAGTAGTCTTTGTAATTACTCCTACAAAGTGTTGTTAAAGGTTTTGGTGAACCGTTTGAAGGTTATTTTACCAAAGATCATCTCTCCCTCCCAAAATGCTTTTGTGGCGGGGCGACAAATTCAAGATAATATTGGGATTGCTCATGAAATGTTCCACTTTTTTGAAATGGAGGACATCGAAATGTAAGTTTGAAATGGGTATTAAATTGGATATGCAGAAAGCCTATGATAGGGTGGAATGAGATTTTCTCGATGCGGTTATGAAGAGAATGGGTTTCTGTAGTATGTGGAGAAAGCTTGTTATGGGATGTGTTTCTTCTGTTAAATTTGTGGTCCTTATCAATGGGCAGCCAGGTGACAAGTTTGCTCCTTCTAGGGGTCTCAGGCAGGGAGACCCATTATCTCTGTATATGTTTATTTTACTTGGGGAGGTTCTTTCGAGCATGATTCATGAAGCGGTTGATGATAAAAGGTTGGAAGGAATGCGGCTCGGTGTCTCGGGGCCTATCATTTCTTACATGTTTTTTGCGGACAATACTCTTCTTTTTCTGAGAGCAGATGTAAATAATTGCTTATGTGAAAGGGAGAAGTGTGGCCTTGCTTATGTGAAGGGGAGAATCTTGGGAAAGCTCCAAGGGTGGAAACAGAGTGCTTTGTCGCGGGTGGGAAGAGAAGTTTTGATTAAGGCTGTGGTCCAAGCTATTCCTGCTTATCCTATGAGCATTTTTAAATTTCCTGCTGTTGTTTGATAGGAATTGGATGCCATGGTTGCGAGGTTTTGGTGGGTAAGCCACGGGGAAGACCGAAAGATTCACTGGGTGTCCAATGAGGTCTTTGGCCTTTCTTAGGATATGGGTGGCATGGGTTTCAGGAATTTTCAAGATTTTAATGATGCATTACTAGCTAAGCAGTGATGTAGGTTAATTACGGAGCCGAATTTGTTGTGGGCTCGGGTTATTAAGGCCCAGTACTTCCCGCATTGTTCTTTTTGGGAGGTTAAAAAAAGAGCAAGGGCGTCGTGGGCTTGGTCCAGTCTTCTCTCGGGCAGGGAGCTTCTTGCCAACGGTTCCCATTGGCAGATTATGGGTGGGGAAGATGTGAGGGCTTAGGTGGACAGGTGGCTGCCATTATTACAGTCGCGGCACCCTATGCCGCTTGGTGTGGTTGAAGTTACAAAAAATTTACGAGTTAGCTCCCTCATTGACTCTTCTTCCCGGCAATGGGATATTGATTTTTTGAGACCGCTTCTCTCTATGGTGAATCAAAGGGCTATTCAAGAAACACTTATTGGAGACTCGAGGAGGAAATACCGACTTGTTTGGGCTGCTAGCTGGAATGGTAAATATTCTGTTAAATCGGGTTATAGGTGGCTTCAAATTCAATCTTTAGATGTCAGGGATCATCGTCTGCCTGTAGTTCATTCGATTCCAAAAAAATTGTGGGCTATTATTTGGAAGTTGGAGGTGCCTCCAAAAATTCGGCCACTACTACAAAAGGGCATATTACTGGCGTTTTAAAACCGACAATAAACACTAGTTAACGTCGGATATTTGGTAAAAATCCGACATTAAATAAAGCAATGTCGGATTGAGGAACCGACACCAATACTACCGTCACAAAAGGGCAATGACGTCGCTTATTCCCCTTAATCCGACACCAAGAAGTAAAGTATTATAAAAAAAATAAACAATAGCGTCGCTTAAAAGCGACATAATATCTGACGTCACTTTTAAGCGACATTAACATTTGACATGATGGCGCTTAAAAGCGACGCTAAGTAAAAATTAAAAATTAAAAAATCACACCTACTGTCAGTCTAAACCGACGTTAAGTAAAAATTAAAAATTAAAAAATCACGTCCACTGTCGGTTTAAACCGACATCATCTGAGTTAAAAAAATTAAATAGTCCCGCTACTGTCGTTCATAAGCGACACCAAATATATTAATAATAAAAAATATATTTTCCCGTTTTTAATTAATAATAATTAAAAATTATATAAAAATAAATCTCACCATATGTCAATGAAAAAACAAACAGTTTTAAGCAAACTTCATATTAAAAATAAAATTTCTACCAAATATATATTAAATTTAAAATTAATTACAATTCCTAAAAATGTACAACCCATAAAAATTCTTCCCGAACCTTTGCAAAAGGTTTTGAACCGATTGTATGGTTCATAGTTTACAACCCATAAAATTATTCCCGAAGTTTTTCTGCAATCTCCTGAAAAATAAAAAAAAATTATTAGACAAATTTCAAGGTTTAATAAAATAAATCATGAAACATTTACCTTTGTTTTTTCTTTATTTCAGTATGCCTCCATTGGGATATTTCTATAATCTCTAATCTCTGCCGCTACATGTTTCGAAAAAGCACTAGAATTATCACTAATGCATTTTCCAGACGAATCAAACGAACAAGGTTGTTCTTTCCAATTCGAAATTGAGGGTCATCATCTTCATTGAGTTGATCCTTGTAAATACAGAAAAAACAATTAAAAACAAAGAAACAAAAATAAATTTTCAATTTAAGCATGAAACCAGTTAGAATACAAAACTAAAACTAAAATTAATAATCATAATAATTTAAAAATGAACCACCTTCGAGCTCTTCCTCTTCAAATTGGAGTTCCTCATAATGTTGATCTTCAAAATGGTGATCCATAGAAAATTGGGAAGGATAAGAGGAAAACAGAAAAGGAGGAAGAAATGGATGTAAGGATGAAATGGGGAAGGAGAAGAAGAAAGACTTAAATTGGGGGAGAAAAGAAGCACGGATGAATGGGTAAGAGAGGGGTTTAAATATGGGTACTTGAGGGGTTTAAATATAGGTACTTAGTTGGCGTCGGTTTAAATCGACATTAATTGACTGACGTCGGATTAAATGTACATGAACCGACGCCAACCTGACACACTTTATATGGTGTCGCTTTTAACCGATGCTAACCTGACACACTTTACATGGCGTCGCGTTAAACCGACGCTAACCTGACACACTTTACATGGCGTCGCTTTTAACCGACGCCAACCTGACAACTTTCTGACACTCTTTATTGAAAATACTACGTCAGTTTAAATTAATGTTGGTGTCGGTCTTAACCGACACCAACTTCTGACACACTTTTTAAAATTCATGTAGTGTCGGTTTAATGAAACTTGCGTCGAATTAAAAGATGATAACGTCGGTTAAAACCGACACTAAGTCTGAGAATACATTTCCAGCGAAAAATTTCCCACCTAATATTTCAAATTATCCATCTATTTCCCGCCTAATGTTTATCCATCCGTTTCAAATTATCTCATATAACATTTTAAGATTTTAATAAATAAAATTTAACTTAAATAAAAAACGTAATAAAAAACATAAATATAATTTTATTATAAAATATCATCACATACTAATTGAAACATAGTCCAATTAATACTTAAAATTTATAAAATAATTAATATTGGTTTTAAATTGAAATCGAATTCATTCATTGTATTCATATAGAGTCAAGGAGTGTAGATGTCAAAAGTCATCAAAATCGGAGTTAGATAACGAGTCTTTTTTTTTTTTGGGTATCTCATATAACATTTTAATGATTCTATTGTGTTAATAAATCTATCATTTTGATGGGATACGCATCCTACGAAACTAATTTCCACAATCCAACCGTCAAACTTTTTTGTATATGCTTCGAGATCGCATATGCCAAAAATCGCAAAAAACAAACATTCAGAGATCAAGTAAAGGGACAAAACTTTCCGACGGTTATAAAACGAAAAATCACGATTTAACGGTTCTTTGAACTCCGCTTTTGATTATTTTTTATAGCTACACTCCTTGATCCTATATGAATACAATGAACTAATTTGATCGTCATTTTAAAATATTTATACTTTCATTAACGGTTCTTAGCATTTCACTAACACTTAAAGTTTATTTATACTTTCATTAAGTATAACATAAGATTTTGTGGTATCCACTAGTGTAAATATTTTAAATTGAAGATTGAATTCATTCATTGTATTCATATAGGGTCAATGAGTGTAGCTGTAAAAAAACATCAAAATCAGAGTTAAAATAACCGTTAAATCGTGATTTTTCGTTGATAACCGTCGAAAAGTTTTGTCCCGTTACTTGATCTTTGAATGTTTGTTTTTTGTAATTTTTGGCGTATGCAATCTCGAAGTATATACAAACATGTTTGACGGTTGGATTGTTGAAACTAGTTTCGTAGAATGCGAATCTCATCAAAAAAATAGATTCACTAACACTACGAGCTTATTCATACTTTCATTAAGTATAACATAAGATTTTGTGGTATCCACTAGTGTAAATATTTTAAGTTGAAGATCGAGTTCATTCTTTGTATTCATATAGGGTCAAGGAGTGTAGCTGTAAAAAATCATCAAAATCGGAGTTAAAATAACCGTTAAATCGTGATTTTTCGTTGATAACCGTCTAAACGTTTTGTCTCGTTACTTGATCTCTGAATGTTTGTTTTTTGCAATTTTTGGCCTATGCGATCTCGAAGTATATACAAACATGTTTGACGGTTGGATTGTTGAAACTAGTTTCGTAGAATGCGTATCCCATCAAAAGAATAGATTCACTAACACTTAAGAGTTTATTCATACTTTATTAAGTATAACATAAGATTTATTGGTATCCACTAGTGTAAATATTTGAAATTGAAGATCGAGTTCATTCATTATATTCATATAGGGTCAAGGAGTATAGCTGTAAAAAATCATCAAAATCGGAGTTAAAATAACCATTAAATAGTGATTTTTCGTTGATAACCGTCGAAAAGTTTTATTCCGTTACTTGATCTCTGAATGTTTGTTTTTTGCAAATTTTGGCCTATGCAATCTCGAAGTATATACAAACATGTTTGACGGTTGGATCGTTGAAACTAGTTTTGTAGAATGTGTATCCCATCAAAACAATAGATTCACTATCCCTTAAGAGTTTATTCATACTTTCATTAAGTATAACATAAGATTTATTGGTATCCACTAGTATAAATATTTGAAATTGAAGATCGAGTTCATTCATTGTATTCATATAGCGTTAAGGAGTGTAGCTGTAAAAAATCATTAAAATCGGAGTTAAAATAACCGTTAAATCATGATTTTTCTTTGATAACCGTCAAAAAGTTTTGTCCCGATACTTGATCTCTGAATGTTTGTTTTTTGTGATTTTTTGCTGATGCGATCTCGAAGCGTATATAAGCAAGTTTGACGATTGGATCGTTGAAATCAATTTCGTAGGATTCGTATCCCATCAAGTTCAATGGTGTGTGTATATATATATTTATTAAGTAGATTTAAATTTATTTATTTTGTACGTATAACACTTAAGAAATTGAATGGTTTGTATATTCAAGCCAATCCATTGGTCACCAATTTTTAATATTTAATTTAATATATATATAATTATAGTTTTTAAGGGTATAAAATTGTTAAATTAATATATATAATTATTATAGTATTTTTTTAGGGTTCTAAAATTATAAAATTTATTAAATTATTAAATTAATATATATAATTAGTGTCGCCTATAAGCGACACAAATACTTTATGTCGCTTAAAAACGACACTGTTTTGTTTAAAGCGACGCCAGTATTTAAAATTATTAAAATATATGTCGGTTATAAGCGACATTAAATGTCTACGTCGGTTTAAAAGTGACGTAGACATTTTATGACGCTTATAAGCGACAGTAAATCCGACGTCATGTTCCATTAGTGTCGCAACTGTCTTATGCGCCACTACATTATATTAAACCGACACCATCCACTGACACTATAAGTCCCTTTTGTAGTAGTGGGCATTTCTTATGGTTATCGTTGCATCTTGGCTTGCCTATTTGTGTGGCTCTTTTTAAAAGGAGATTATCCCCTTCACCTTCCTATCCCCTTTGTCGGTGTGCTGATGAATCTGTGGAGCATGTCTTTCTTCGCTGTCCTTGGGTGGAGGCTGTTTGGTATGGTGGTGCTCTTAATTATAAAGTTGACACAGCCGGTATCGATTCGTGGACTATGTGGTTGCAAGCTGTGTTGTCTTCTAAACTGGGATCTTCAGCTGAGAGAATGTGGTTCCAATCTTATGTAGCTTTTACTTGCTGGTTCATTTGGAAAGCTTGATGTGATTATTTGTTTAATCATGTATCTATCAACCCCTTTAAGGTTGTTTTTGCTCTGTCGACAACTTTCGGGAATTTTTTGCATGTTGTATCGAATCTTGGTGTTGCTCGACCGGTGATGGGTCTTCAGGAGGCCGATAGTGTCAGGTGGTGTCCTTCTTCTTCTCATTTTGTTAAGATAAATGTGGATGCTAGCTGGTCTAAGTGTTCTCGGATGGGTTTTGCGGGGGTGGTTGCTAGACAGGAAAACAGGCTTTTTAAGGCAGCGGTGAGGTCCTCTCTTTTGGCTCCGTCTTCTTTAGTGGCTGAGTCAATTGCGATTCTTAGAGGATGTGAATTGGGTGCCTCGTTGGGTTTC